CTGACCTCTTTCCCATCCAACTCCCTACTCCTGAATTCAGAAACCGTTACTTTCTTTCATGGAAATATAGTTATTTGCATTGGTCTTATAAGAATCTGTTCTCTTTTTCACCAGGATCTAATTGGAGAAATTGATTGTGCAACTAAAGTCTTACCTAGATAATGATAAGCTACTTTTAAGGGACAAGGTTGACTTTACCTCAACTTTATGGAACAAAGGCTTACAAAGCCTTCTTATGAAATTGTCATGGTATCTGACTTACGTAGTCTGTCTTAAAAGTGGTTTCTAGCAGGCCAGGGACCTTGGCAAATTTGGAAACCTTGAGAAGAGATCATTTCCCCCAAATTTAAAAGTTCAACAGGTGAAATTTAGTGGACAGAGTTTCTTGGACTTGGTTACCTAGCTCTGGAGTAGCATAGAAGAGACTTTTAGAAGTGCAGTATGAGATTCTCGATGAAAAAATATAGACAGAAATTAAATCTGTGGACTTTAGTAGTTGTTAAACACTATATAGCTCTAGATTTGCAAAGCAAATTCAAGGAGGGCTATTAGGTTAATTAATACTCTTGCTGTACCTATGTCAATAATCTGAAAACCTAATGAAACAAACTTGTTTTTGATCCAGAATACTATTTCTTTGAGATTATTAAGATCATAGAGTGGTACATGGAAAATTATACAAGAAAATTTGTGAAAGATTTTGAAACAGAAAAGAAAATCACTGTTTGTCCTATCTAGCATACTCTTCAGAATTATCTCTACCTAAATTGTCTTTAAGTCATTTTTCAACTCAGTAAGTTGCAGAAAACTCTTAGTAATGCAAATAATTCTTGTCCATAGAAATGCAAGTGAATTGTGTTCCATGGAGAAGAAATTGATTAATTCTCTGTGAATATTGACCAGTAAATTTAGCATTCTTAATTGACCGCATGTGTATTTTCTTTTTTTTAATAAGTCACAACAAAATTGGTTGGCTATTAATTAATGAGTTTAAACATCCGGATATATGTTCAAAGAAATTAAAGCAGAAATCAAAACTTTAAAAAATAGAGATGTAGAAGACAAAACAACAGACGTGAAAGACTGGCAAAGGAAATCAAAACTTGCATAGAGTCTCCAAAGGAAAAAAAGTTAAAATAGCGAAATAAAAACACATGTTTAAAAACATAATTCTAGAAAAGAGGAATACTTGAATTTACATGTTGAAAAAGCACACTATGTTCCAGAAAAAAACTGAAAAAGAATATTCAACACTAATCCATTTATTAGTACAGTCTGTTCTGCTACCATATTTGCTTTTTAAAATTAATGGATTTTGTTTTTAAAAGCAGCTTTAGATTCACAGCAAAAAATGAGCATAAAGTATATAGAGTTCCCACATATCTCCCTGTTCCCCCACCCTCAGCTTCTCCTACCATTAACATCCCTCATCGGTTTGGTACATCAGTTATAATTGATGAACCAACACTGATGCATCAGTTTTAACCAAAGTCCATAGTTTGTAGTATTAGGATTCACATTATGAGATGTATATGTCATGGGTTTTGACAAATGCATAATATGTGTCCACCACTATAGTACCATATAGAATAGTTAGTTTCCCTGCCCTAAAATTTCCCTGTGCTCTATTTATACTTTTTCCCTTCTCCCAACCCCCAACCAACCACTGATTTTTTTGTTACTGCTTCCACAGTTTTGTCTCATCTAGAATATCAAATAGTTGGTATCATACACATTGTATAGTAGCCTTTTCACATTGGTGTCTTTCACCAAGATTACTCCATGCATTTTTGTACCTTGACAGCACTGAATAATATTCCTTTGTATGAATGTACCACATTTTATTTATCCATTCACCTACTAAAGGATATTTTGGTTGCTTCCAAGTTTTGGCAATTATGAGTAAAGCTGTTACAAACATCCACATGCAGGTTTTTGTGTGGTCATAAGTTTTCAACTCCTTTGTGTAAAAAATACCAAGGAAAATCATTGCTGGATAGCATAGTAAGACTATGTTTAGTTTTTGTTTTTAATTTTCTTTATGTTTAGTTTTGTAAGAAGACACCAAAATGTCTTCTAAAGTGGCTGTACCGTTTTGAATTCCTACCAAGAATGAATGTTTCTACCAAGAATGAATGAGAGTTTCTGTTGCTCTGTACTCTCACTAGCATTTGGTGTTTGTCAGTGCTTTGGATCTGGCCATTCTAATATGTGTGTAGTATACCTCATTATGGTTTTAATTTGAAATTCCCTAATGACACTATATATGATACAGATGACTGTGTGTGAATATATTATAATATAATAAAATACTATAATAGATACCATATATAATATATACACACACACAATTTCTTCTTTCTAGGAACACAGACTACACACACACACACACACACACACACACACACACACACACACACACACCCCTAGACTATAGATAGATATATAGATATATTTCTACATCTCTCTACCTGTCATCTATCTATCCATCTATCTATATCTCTATATAGTCTGGCTATATATAAAAACATAAGCCGGGCTCGGTGGCTCAGCCTGTAATCCTGCGCCTTTGGGAGGCTGCGGTGAGTGGATTGCCTGAGCCTGCGGGTTCGAGACCCGCCTGGGCGGCGAGACCTCATCTCCACAATAAAAATCCAAAAATCAGCTGGGCGTGGTGGCGCATGCCTGTAATTCCGGCTACTCGGAAGGCTGAGGCAGTAGGATCGCCGGAGCCCAGCAGGTCGAGACGGCAGTGACCGGGAGCGGCCACTGCACTCCAGTCTGGGCGACAGAGTGAGACTCCAACTCAAAAAATAAATTAGTTAATTAAATTAAATAAATTAAAAATAAAATAAAATAATTATTTATTGTAGAGATGAGGTCTCTTCAAGTTGCCCAGGCTGTTCTCAAACCCATGAGCTTAGGCAGTTCCCTCACCTCAGCCTCCCAAAGTGCTGGCATTACAGGATTGAACCATTGTGCCCATCTGTGCTTTTTTCATTTGCTTAGTTTTAATCTTACCTGTTGATAATTCTTCCTCCACCATTTCAATCCAGTTTCCACATGGTCAAACCAAACCAGAAATCCATTAACTCAGGTCCTTTTCTGAGACTTTCTTTTCCTGGAACCGCCTTCTTTTCTGTTGAAGACTGGTTGCTTTCTAGACGTGTTTCAGAGCAGTTGTTCTATAATCTCTCTTTACTACCATCTTGAAAATTTTTTCTGCCTGCCTCCTTATTGTCTCTTCTGTCTTTTGGATTCCATATTTTCCACTTTCATTGTTTATTTTCATGTTTTGTGGGCTTACATTCTCCAGTAACTTCCTGATGTGAAGGAGATTTTTGAGGTCTTGTATTTTTTTTTTTTTTGAGTTGGAGTCTCACTCCGCAACCCAGGTTG